GAGTTTTATTTGAGGTCAGTTTATTTTGTATTTTTTGACAAGAGAGAGCATTCTCACCAAATGAGATTTCTTCCGAAATTCAATGTTTTGTTTATGCAGGTTTTTCCATTGCAATTCACTTATTTCAATTTTTAATAGACTTAATTATAGCCAAAATTTTAACCTTTTTAAAGAGATATCAGTTTTAGAAATTTTATCTTAAGATTGCTTAGGTGCATTTGCAATGTACCTAAGTTAGTAGCGAGTGAAGCGAGCTTGGTTTGCGAAGCAAATCATATAAGATCGCGTAGCAATTCTCGGGGGTTGTCGAGCGTTAGCGAGCAGGGGGCGGAGCCTCCTAGTATATATATACGTATATTACTTACTTTTCTACCAATTTCTTAAAAAATGCATAATTTTTTCTTATTATGTATACTGGGGGTTTCGCCTTCTCCTTTTTTCTCACCAACTCTCATGATATCAATTTTTTGTTACTTGAAGATACTTAATTGTTATAACTATTGTATTCATCGATCCTATATGTTTTTATTGTATTAACAAAATTTTGGTTTTACTGATTTAATAACTCATTTTATTGGTATAAAACTTAAACATAATTATTTCTCTGGGTTATTATTGAAATTTCATCACTATTTTTTTAAAATTCATGTTTAAACTTTGACTCTCAATAAGTTTTAAATGATACGAATTAATAATTAATAATTGTAGATACTAATTAATAATTGTGGTAAATGTTAATTCTTAATAATGTTTCGCAATTTTGTATTCATTGTTTCAATTACATATGTTGATACATATAGTTTTACGCAAAGATTTTGGTGAAAGTAAGTACAATTAGCTGTTAATAAGTTATAAAGTTAATATGTCATTATATTAATGTGTTTATCACAAAATATTTTGTGATAAGATGACAGTCGTATCATAGTATTCCACGATAATAAAAAAAATATCGCTTTTTTCTTTAACTAGGAGGCTTCGCCCCCTACTCGCTTTGCAACCCGATGCTCGCTTTGCTCGCTCATTGGATACGTTCTTAACGTCTAGCTTTTGTATACTTTTTTGAACACTGAAGTTCCGAAAACTTTTCACTGTAGAAAATTTCAAACCTGTGCATTTCAATATTAATTTGAAGTTGCAAACAGTTCGCATATTTTTCTCAACACTTCAGGGACACACAGAACTTTTCACACTATTCTAAATTTCAGTTGTTGAGAAAAGTAATTGCTGTAAGTTTTGTTTTAAAGTCTTTCCTACCAGAGGGCTAAAACCATGTGTTGCAAAACAATATGAAATAGTACTGAACACCGGATGTAAAGCATCGGTTTCGATGAAGATAATTTTGTGAGAATTTTTTTGATAATTAGGTGAGAATTCACCCCATTAGACATATGATGCTCACTACGTGCTCTTGCGTGCCGAAGCCTATCAATTAAAAATGAAAACTGTTGCCAACGCGAGAAAAGAAATATCATCGGTTTTATTGATACATACGTACGTATTAGCGTTTTATATAATATATATTCCTAATTCGGAATTATAGTCTAAATTATAAATGTAATAAGGTATAATAAACTATAGGTAATAAATAAACTATTCAAATAAATACCTTTTTAAAGAAATATTTTATATTTTAGAAGAAATATATATTTTCATAATGAAATAGTCAAAAGCTGAACAACGCTTTTGTAACTTAATCAGTTTCATGCTGAGACAACAAAAGAATTCTAAATTTTCATGAATTAAAATTAAATTATACCATATAGTTTTAAGAATTCATTGTAAACAATGGAAAACGGTTGCAAGTCATACGTTATATAAAAAATGTTGTTAGAAAATTAATGTTTGAAAAAATATTTGAGAATGATGTTTTAATTCAAAAAGAAAAATAATGCAAAGAGTATAAATTTAAAAGTAAATGATACCGGTAGCATTGATTTAAATATTCATATAATTTCAAAAGTTTAATTCTATAGGAGAAAACAACCGTTCAAAAAAGAGAAATATTTGCTTTTTAATCGAATAATTAAAGTAAAGCTTCTTTTTCATAAGCTAGTCATATTTCTTTAAATAATGAGATATTTAATTGTACGTATAAGAACTTAAAAAAGTATAACATTAATTATGTTCATAAAAAGGAATATAATCTGAAATCAGTGCAAATGGTTGTCATTTACTTAAATTTATACAATTAGCAGATTTGTAAACATTCTAAAATTACCTCAGGTACCATGAGAAAGCAACAAACAAAAGCGGATATAAAACAATTGATCCAAAACACCCATCTTAAGAAGGTGAAATAAGATGCTACAACAGAACCAAAATGACCTGCAATTTACAAAAAAAGAAATTTCAAATAACTTTTACGAAGAAGCAAAAACATGTTTACGCATTTTAAGCAAATGAACATTCAAGGTAATGGCATAAAATTATCAAAAATCACTTAATTATTTGCTTTTTTTTTCATTCAAGTCTTAAAGGGGAAAATTCACTGCATATGTTTATATAAATTCGTATATATATATATATATATATATATATATATATATATCTGTACGAATATATATAAACATATGCAGAGAATTT